GCTTCTATATTTCAGAAAACTAGATCATTTTAATTAAAAAATATTCCCACGGTTATTATATCAAAGAATAAAAGGAGTGAATCATTGCTTTAATTCTTCTTTTTCTGTATACTTGAATATTCAAGCTTTTCTAGGTATTCATATAGGAGAAAAAGAAATTTTGAACCTGTAGACAAGTATGCATAAGATTAACTACAGGTTTTCAAGTTGAAGCGTAAATTCGCAAATTCTGAGTATTGAGTCTGGCAAATACCTTAGATAATTGTCAAACGATTCTGACTAATAATCTTTGCGCATAAATCGTGACAAAATCCTTTGAAACATAGCATCCTTGATGGATTCTAATGGATCGTGGCGGATTCTTTGGATCCTGGTGGCTCTTCTTGGGTCCTGGCGGCTCCTTTTGGATCCTGATGGATCCTAGAATACATTAGGAGCCGCTTTGCTCCCCTTGGAAAATCGTCTCGATCAACTCTCTCGCCCAGAATACATATTCATCGATCGAGATCATTCAGTTTATGTATCTGATTATGGGAATCATAGTGTGATGAAATGGGTGGAAGGTGCAAAACAAGGCATTGCCGTGGCTGGTGGTCAAGGATATGGAAATGGTCTTACACAATTGTCTTGTCCTCAAGGAGTCGTTGTCAATCAATTGGGCACTGCCTATGTGGCTGATCGATGGAATGATCGAATCATGCGTTGGCCCAAAGGAGTCACACAAGGAAGTGTCATTGTTGGTGGAAACGGTGAAGGAGGACAATCCAACCAACTCAATTGGCCCTTCGGTTTGTCACTCGATCGACACGGTAATCTCTATGTCGCCGATTATGGAAATCATCGAGTACAAAAATTCAATATCGAATTCAAAAGCGCCAAAGAGATATGCAGAGTTGATCTCGGTGTAGGTACATTGAGGTTAAAAGAAACACCTACCCCCTAATCGCTTTAATTTTCGTTCTGTTTTGGAAAACATTACGAAGCACTAATAGTTGCCTATTTCAGTGGATTGTAACGAGTTCCTGGTTGCCAATGATCGTAATATATATGAACCTAGTAGTTTCCTATTGACAAATTTGA